CATATCACTAATGGTGTGACATTACCTGAACCATGCCCCTGTATGCTGCACTTGGCACACAATTTAACACCCTTATCGTCTAACACAGGAGTGCCCAAAAGGAAGGTTTGCAAGATTTTAGAATGTAATAGAATGATTAAAATATCTGGGGATCTACCTTTTGGGCACCCCTGATCTAACACACTGACACACACACATGCTCATTGAAAAACACAAGCTCATCGGCTCATACACACATGCTCTGACACACATAGACACACATAACTTCACAGACACACAAAGGCTCACTAACGACAAACTGACATATTCATACATGCAAGGTCACTACAAACAAACTCACTGTCACAAAAACACAAGCTCTGTGCATGCCGAAGCTCAGTGGCACACATTCACTGCATGCTTGTCATTTTACACTTATTAGTACTGTGATGGTAGACTGTGAAAGGTTGCCTCATACTTCTGGCTGCTATTTGACAGGGCTCTTCTGTCAGTTTTCGTTTGGTTCAGGCTTGGGGGCACTGCAAACAGCCTGTATAGAAGTTCCACTTTTGTCTCTGTTGATCCTGCTGCCTCATTCCATCCTTATTGTTCCTTCCCTCCCATATGTGACTTCCCCTCACACAGGGCAGGGGGTGAGAGCACAAGGACAAGGCATCATCAATATGCCTTTATAAAAAAGATTGCATGCAGTCAGTGTGGTGGGCACAGGTGGCTAGCAGCTGGATATAGTGTGAGTTATGGCTGTGATGCAGCCATTTGCTCCCAGGTGCCATCCTTAAATAAGCAGCAAGAGCATACCACATCCTGATGATCTGAGTTCCTGTTCTGGACCTTTGTTCCTGTGTTGGATTAGCCAATAGGCATTTTGGAGCCTCTAACACAGAGCTCTAACACAGTGTCAGGATTACTGTTTGACCCAGCACGTAGAACTGTATAGCACGGATGACAAATAAGTAACGTATTACCGGTCCTTAGAATGGCCGGATTTAACGTTTATAGAATAGTCAAAAATACTAGCCGAGGTCAGGTAACACAGAAAGGGACGCAGCGATGAGGAAAGCCAGGAGTCAGGATACCAGAATATAGAGAAGTCAATAAACAAAGCCAAAGTCAAAAAACAGGTAGAAAACTATAAACAGGAACGCGCTCTCGGACAACCACAAGGGAAACCACGACAGGGCACTGAGCAGGATGAGAACTGGGCCTAAATACCCTTCCTCTAGATCTGATAGGCTGTAACCGGCCTTTGACCCCAAAGTCAGTTACCAGGTTTCATTTGCATAATTGCTGCTCAGCATTAGCCCTTCTGTGGATTAGGTTGCTGCTCGGCACAACTTTTCCTGTGTGGACAGTAAATGTCATTAACCACATTTTTATAAGCTGATGAATACGTGACACACCGATCAATTTTTGTGGGTGATACTCTTCCCACACGTGTTTTTATTACATACCGAAAGCATGTTTATTTGTTTTCTAGATTTTATGTTTTTATTTAACCCTGTTCCATATGTATAAGTATAAACTTTTTTTTATTATTATTTCTTCTTTTTTAATCACTGATCGTATTCTGAGATCACGTGCTTGGAGCTTCAGCTCAAGTGGTTCCTATGTTAAATGGACCCTGACAGCAACTGCATACATATTTAAAAAAAACAAAAAAAAACGTTGTCAAATTTGATCCACCAAAGAAAAATATTTGGTCAAGTTTAATCTAGATAGTATATTGATCCTAGAAAGTAGAACCAACCCTCTCCCCCCTCCTTTTTTATCCCTCTTCCCCTCCCTTCCTTAATTGTTTTTGTTTAAAATGTATTTTGAAACTGTTCAATAGAAATAATTTGAAAAGAAACTTGTATTGGTTTTATCATTTAACATATGTTTTTTGTCAAATAGTTTAGATAAGGTATTAATGTAACCATTAGAAAGACTTTAAACAAAGTTGTTATATAATACTAAGCTGGTGTACAAATACTGCTACTTAAGTTTCCAGACGGTAGAGCCACAGGAAGGTAATTCAGACTCGAATGATGCGCTACTCGTGTATTGTGTTGCACCAAGAATAAACCTGCACCTTCTTAAGACATTGGCTCTTGTGCTCTTTGGAAATGTACGTTTCCAATAGGAAGTAACATGAAAACAGCAGCAGGAGGGAGAAAGGATGAAAAACTGGTTTTGGGTTTATGACTGCATTAAATAGGAACTGGCATGGTAACTTGTTTTGTTTTGTTGGTATCTTTGTCTTTACAAACACAATTGTTTGATGAATCCCAGTAAATGTCACTTTGCAAAAGCAGGAACAGTTTATAAGCTTAAATGTTAATCCTACTAGCACTAAGAAGGCAGATTTTGAACAGGACGGTCATATGTACACTTTTTGACATTTCTAATAAATCCTCAATTCATTTTTATTATTCTAAAATCGAAAAATAAACAAGGAAACGGCCTGTTATTATTAAACTGAATCGTAACTAAAATAAAGTTATTACCATTTTAAAACATGATAATGGCTTCAATTACATTTTAAACTATACTTGCTTGCACAAAATACACTTTGTTTCAGTGGTTTATGATAAATAGATTTTCTTATCTATAAAACTCCTTCCGACATCGGCTGAATGCGCATGTGCAGCAAGAGCCGCGCGAGCATTCAGTGAGCCCGTAGGAAAGGCAAAAAAGAAAGTATTAAATATTCCAAATCTCAGTTTTTTTATGTCTCTTCGAGAAGCCTTTAATAGCACTGTACATTGGCTTCCGTGACTTCAAGAGAGGGTGTGGAAAGGTAAGTTATGCATATATAAATTCTCTTTTATTATAAAAAATGCAAGAAAAACGGGGGTTTCGTTTCACAGTTTTGGCAATAGTAATTTGTACATAATTGGAGTAATTATAATAGTAATTAAAAATAAATTCATTTATTTGTACTCCTTTAACCCCTTAAGGACGGCGGGTGTTCTATGCTGTCCTTTTTGGGGCGGTCCTAAACGCCGATGGCATCATAGAATGTCTCCACCGTCCTTACTACTTACTGGGTCCCCGCCGTTCCCACACTGGTGGTTGTGATCCTGGGGCTCGCCTGGGAGCTCAGGCATAGTCCCTCTGCCCCCCCTCACACCCGGCCATGTGATCATGGGGTCCTCACAGTCACATGGCTAGAATAGCCGGCTTACGCAGTGCCTGCAGGGGACCTACCTGAACTATCAGGCAGTCCCCCTCATGCCTGTAAAAAAGTATATAAAAGATCTTAAAAGTTATTAAACAGATTTTAAATTAAATAAAAAGTAATCTAAGTACTTTTATATACACATACACATACATACATACATCATTAATAAAACTGTATTTTAATATTTAGATATATATATATATTTATATATATATATAAAAATAATCAATAAATAAATTGAAAAAAATGAAAAAATAAAATAAAAAAATTAAAATAAATTCAAAAAAATTATTTACCATTTTTCATTTGTTCTAACTGTATTTTGATATTAATATACATATATATTAAATTCAAAATACATTTAGAATGACACTATAAATATATATATATATATATATATAGCTATATATAAATAAAAATAATAAAATATTATATATATATATATATATATATATATATATACTATATTATATATATATATATATATATATATATATATATATATATATATATATATATATAGATATTTTATTGTATTATTTTTATTTATATATAGCTATATATATATATATGCATACATACATATTTAAATTCTACAAATATATTTATATAATATTTTTACATAATTAAGTCATTTTAATAATTACAATCTGAGGGACCTGCCCGACAACCCAGGCAGAAAGTCCAGAGAATTTGGCTCGCAAGCCCTATATTTAACCCTTTAACTTTCCAGGACACCATAAAACCTGTACATGGGAGGTAGTGTTTTACTCGGGAGACTTTGCTGAACACAAATATTAGTGTTTAAAAACAGTAAAACATGCATTTTTGTGCATTTTTCACACACAAACTGTACTTTCACTGAAGATATAATTGTTGTGATACATTTTACTATTTTTAAACACTAATATTTGTGTTCAGTGAAGTCTCCCGAGTATAACAGTACCCCCATGCACAGGTTTTATGGTGTTTTCAAAAGTTACTGAGTCAAATGTAAGGCTTGAGTTTCCTTTTTTCACATTATATTTGCCAGATTGGTTAGGTTGCCTTTGAGACCATATGGTAGCCCAGAAATGAGAATTACCCCCCTGATGACATTTCATTTGCAAAAGTAGACAACCCAAGGTATTGCAAATGGGGTATGTCCAGTTTTTTTTAATAGCCACTTCTGGCCATAATTAGCGTTCAATTTAAACACTGGCCATAATTAGCGTTCAATTTAGTCTTTTGCATTTTTTTACACACAACAAATGTGAATGCTAACTTTGGCCAGTGTTTGTGACTAAGTGGCTACTAAAAAAGACTGGACATACCCCATTTATAATACCTTGGGTTGTCTACTTTTGCAAATGGTATGCCATCATGGGGGTAATTTTCATTCCTGGGCTACCATACGCTCTCAAAGGCAACATAACCAGTCTGGCAAATTTCAATGTGTATAAACTGAAAAATGTAATGTCCTATATTTGACCCTGTAACTTTCCAAAACATCATAAAACCTGTACATTGGGGGTACTGTTTTACTCATGAGACATCACTGAATACAAATATGTGTACTTTATTGCAGTAACAGCTAACAGTTTTGTGACATTCACAGTTAAAATGCAATGCAGAATTTAAAAAGTACAAACTTACTTAATTTCTCAATTATTTTTATATTATATTCATATTAAATTATGTTTAATATACAAATATTTTATGTGACATGAAAGCCCTGTTTCTCCTGAACAAAATGATATATAATAAGTGTGGGTGCACATAACATGAAAGATGTGAATTACGCCTGAACAGACATGTGCGCAAATTCAAGGTTTTGTTTATGTTTTGTTTTGATCACAACTTGTACAACTGCCTCAGTCCTTAAGGGGTTAAAGAGTACATAATATGTCAATGTATTTTTTGGTAGTTACAGACCACAACTACCAGGGGGGATATGATAGAAACATTTAAATACATAAAGGGAATCAACACAGTAAAGGAGGAGACCATATTTAAAAGAAGAAAAACTTCCACAACAAGACGACATAGTCTTAAATTAGAGGGGCAAAGGTTTAAAAATAATATCCGGAAGTATTACTTTACTTAAAGGGTAGTGCATGCATGGAATAGCCTTCCAGCTGAAGTGGTAGAGGTTAACACAGTAAAGGAGTTTACGCATGCGTGGGATAAGGCTATCCTAACTATAAGTTAAGACCAGGGACAGACTAGATGGGCCGAATGGTTCTTATCTGTCGTCACATTCTATGTTTCTACAAGGAATAAAATACAATTTCAATGTGGAAATATTTTAGAATTTGGTATGTTTGTCTTCTAAGTTTATTACTCATCACAGAAAACAAAATAGCCAACCAAAGTATATATTTATATAAAGTAGACACCACAAGATATTTATCTAAAGGTATTTTGATACTTTTTACATACCCATTTAACTGTCACTGTCTTCTAAAAACTGATAGAAAATTGTGTTTTACAAACGCACAATATTTTTTAATTGTGTATTTCGTAAACCCAATGTGTGTTAATCCTGTACAAAAAACTCTATATTGTATTCAGTTACATTTTCTGAGTAAAATGCATCAAATGTATGCATTTGACATTATTTTGTGACGCTATAACGCCATATACGAGTTTTCTTCAGTTTTTAGTTCGATTTTGATAGATTAATTTTATGGGCTTATGTCTCATTTTATAGCAGTTTGAGTGTTAAATTATCCAACAACAAGTACCCATTTGTGAAAGTAGACACTCTGGGGTATTTCATATGGTGTACATAGTGACATAACTTGCCACCATTTTTGCACCAGATTATGTGAAAGTATGTGGTGATTTTATTTTTTTGCATTTTTTACATTCAAATTACATATTTGCTGGGTATTTTGTAAATAAAAACACACAAAAAAACCTCCCTCCATCTGTGTCTACCCACTCCCTCCCACCCCTCAATGGCTCAGATTGTGCGCATTCGCTCTGAGCCAGTAAAACGGTCCAATCGCAGGCTTTTCTAAAATAAGCCTATGACTGGAGCACACAAGGGTTGCCATGATGTCAGATGGAGGATGGAGATCAGTGTCAGGAGCTTGCAACAACATAACAACCTTTTTGTGTTTAGAATGTTTTTATTTTATTTGTTATTATTATTTTAACAGAAAATAATGATGATGGTGACATTGGTTTACAACAGTTGATTTAGTAAATATGAAAATATTTTATTTTACCGGAGGAAGAGGGGTTTGTAATAAAAAATTATGTAATGGTTATATAAGGTAAGTAAACACATGGCAACTTATAATTAAGGGCAAAGTGTGGGGGGAGAGACAACTTTAATCAATGGTTAAACAGAGCATGTGGCATGCAGTGTCTATATAATCCACAATTCACCCTGGGATCTCCCTTTTAGCTAAATAGACAAAATTATATACATGTATAAACAGAAAAAAAACATACATCATGGTTCATTTTCTTTAAGTATATTAAATAACAAGTCAAGATTATATACACATATATAAAGCGCAATATTAAATAACTGTCATTAAAATGTATTAAGCCATTGCACACAAGCAACCAGCAGAACAAGATATATACAACTGATGAAAATATATAATTACATAACCCAATATTTCAATGTCAATTAAAATATATATATAGAAAAACAAATAAAAAAAACAAACAAAATTAAGTACAGTGTGAACAAAGAGCCCTTTAAAAAAAGAGGAAGGGTCATTGACAGTTCAGCTAAGGAAAGTCTTTCCAGGAAACAGAATTTTCATTGTTCTATAAAAAAAAGAAACACTGCATGCTGTCCAGGAAAATGACTTGTTTTTAAACCATGGTTATAACCTTTAAGGATGCTGGCTGGAATCTCCTAATTTTTTTTTTTAGTGCTTTTGATGCTTTTATACGACAGACTTTTGGCTCTGGTTGAAGATGTCTGTTTCTAGACTCTGTAACTACGGGATGCCTAGCTGTAGTCTCAGTCCACACAAAATCACTCTCATCAGTATCCTCCAGAGTAATACTGCTAGTGCTTGTAAAAGCTTCTGAGTCACTTTCACTGGATTCACTGTCCCCAAATCGATTAGTAGTATAGTCACTGACCTCCTCTTCACTTGTCTCAATTATGGTGGAGTGGAAGAGAGAGGCACACTCTGCTGAATATTCAGACTCACTTTTCGCATAGATTTCCACCGGTTGGTGATACTTAGAAGTATTCCTTAAACTTACAGTCCGCATAACACCTGCCTTTTTTATTGGCTGTCTATGTTGTACTATGTCTGGTCTAGTGCAACCACGATATCCAGACAGCTGACTCTTTATTGAAATCTCTACTGACGACTGCCATTTACGCTGCTTTTTATTTATGGCCCTTTCAGCATTAACACTGTCAAGGGAATGCAAAGCATTAGATGAACGTCTATAAACTTGAGACTTGGGCGTAATCTGTGGGATTTTAAACTGAACAGGATACAAACTTGTTTCTGAACAAGACCTGCCAGCAGCCTCCCCAATGAAAGTAGGTCTTCTAATGAGTTTTCCACCACTTGTATTAGGTCTATTATGCTGCCTCCATTCATTTGTGGGTCTGGAAGTTTCTTTTAATCTTTGATTGTCCATGGCAAGCCCAGATTGCCCTGGTCTTATTTTTTTTTCACTGTTTCTTTTCTTTACTAATTTGTTTTTGGAGGTAGACAGTCTTAGCTTAATTTGATGGGTTTCAGCTGGTACAAAATTGGCTTGGACAAATTCAGACTGAACAACTTTACCACTATGACATTTATTCCTAGGGCTGCTGTACCTTTTGCTTTTTTGGGAGGGTATAACTCTACTTTGTAAGTGTGAGGCATTTTTGATGAATTCTTCAGATGCTAAGCTAGAATATGATCCAAGTTCTACAGACTCTGCTGAGGTATCCTCTATTGTACTTAGACGGCTTAAGTGACACTTATTGAAAGTTTTATGCTCTTGTGTTGGAAGGAAGTCTGGTTGCTTTTCATGTACATCATACATAACATGTTGCTTTGCAATTTCACTAGAATATGTCTCTTTTCCTGGATTGACTTCTTCCTTGGCAACATCTAATATGTAGAACTGTTTGTCGGTAGGGCAACTGCTGCTATTAATTTTTACTCCACCGGGGCTAGATCTTAAAACAAGTCTCTGCTGTTTTACGGCTGGCTGAGTCTTTTCTTTGCATTCAGAGTCGGTATTAGTTTTGCATTTGTTTAATTGCAGCAATTTGTTTATATAACCTCCAGGTTTGAGATCTGTATGCAAGTCATTTCTTTCCATTATCCCACACATCACAGGGTTCAGAGTATTGTTATCTTCCAGAGCACAACTGTCTATATTTTGGGGCTCTTCAGATAAAGCAAAAAGAGGACTTTGAAGGGCTACAGCATGGAGGGGGCTTGGGTATGGGTACACATCATTTCCTCTTTTAGAAACTAAATCATTCTGGTATCTTGGATCTACTGGATGGAACTGTATGTCATTAGCACGGCAATGTGCTGGAACGTTTGGAGATTCAGAAGCGGATTGTAGCCTACGCTCTACAGGAATCAATCTTTCAAGGTCCCCTACAGAAAAAAGAAAGAAAACAAAGCATACATTACAAACTGTCATCATAATGTAATTATGCTACACAATATAATATGTAGCAATGAGCACTGAAAATGTTTGGTTGCACACATCCCTTTTCAAATGTGCATAGAACAGAATTCATCTACCTGTGTCCGGTCTTCCTTTGGACTGTGAGCATACTTTATCATATATGAAATGGTCCAACATGTTGGAAACACCAAAAACAACTTGGTTAATGAATATTTAAATAACATCAATGATAATGCAACTGTCACTAGTCTAATACTGTCCTTACCTTTTTGTGTCATTTTACCCCGCTCCCTCTAGCATGTAAGCTCATTGAGCAGGGCCTTCAACCCCTCTGTTCCTGTGTGTCCAACTTGTCTGGTTACAACTACATGTCTGTTCATCCACCCATTGTAAAGCGCTGCGGAATTTGATGGCGCTCTATAAATATCATAATAATAATAATAATAATAATAATAATAATAATAAAGGGTAGGTCAGATCTGGGCTGAGTAGGGAAAAGCGAATATGTCCTGCAACTGCTGCTTGTATAATTGTGCAGCCAAAATGCATGCACTTGACATAACTTATTGCAAAAGCATGTGTTCTGGCTATGGTTCTAATGTATGCGGAAGCGTCATCTTTGTGATGTCTTCAGCCTTGCTGTTTCTAAGCCCAGAATTTTAACAATATAAATAAAGGTATAACTTTATTTTTCTAATTGCTGGTTTGTGTTTTTTTCTTTTCTTTGGAAGTTATGTATTGGATGGTTTTTTCTTATGTTTTATAGCAACATAACCTGTAATTACCCTACAGCAATATTTAATTTCCTGGAATTACATCATATTTTGATTTATGGTTCTAACTAATTACATATTTCCAGGTGGAACTGAATAACATAGAATATAATGTGGCATGCACAGATAAAAGATATTTGCATGACACCATTTACAATATATATGTTGGCAGGTATTTTGTTGACCAGGCTAGCAGCTGGCCTAAGGCTGCCAGTCCTTCATTGATGTTTATTTTTGACAATTGTTACACGTGCAGGAAATTTTAGTAAGCTAGACAGGTGCAATTTTGGGTGCAAGTGTTAAATGTTAAGGGATCTATGACTACATTTTATGACTAATTAAGCATTTGCCCTAGAACAGAAACTGCTTTTGCTTTCATAAATCTCCCACAATAAAACATTAACTTAGATTTTATTTTTGCCTGAAAACCTTTGCAGGACGCTTTCACTGCATGTTAAAACAGAATGAAAAATAGCCACTTAATATACACCCAACATAAATGAAGACAGTGAAGGTGATTTATAAATGTACTGCAAATAAAAAAACAGAGCATGGTTCACGTCACTATGGAAACCAAGTAAATGTTCTTGCTGATTGCTTTCCTCCACTTTTAAAAACTTTGACCCACTTTACAGTTTGCGATATTTTTGTATAAATCTAATTCCTTGTTCAAAGAATTTTTCAGTAATTGCAAAACATTTTTAAAATTACATTATGTGTTTATGGATTCATTTAGTACTAAGTATTTAAAATAGCAGTGAGCCTTATATTAATAAACTCTGAATCTGAAAGAATATTTTACATTTTTGGCATTGTGGTAAACAGCGGTGTTACTTCTCACAATCCTTCCAGGGATTTGGGTTCGATTTGGCAGGTGACTGCCCTCTATTATTTTCTCTTGAGACTGCTGATCTTCCAATATTTACTTTATATACTTTATGTAAGCAAATAGGTTTCCATCTCCCTGACTGGGCTGTTAAAGGCAACGACAATACCTTTTTCTCAATATTCCTGCAATTTAGACTGTGCTGGGGAGACACTTAAACACATCTGTTTTTCAACATTTCTAAAAGTGTTTTTAGCTTGATATTACATGTGACATGCTATGATATTGCATGTCATTTAAACTATAGTGTTGGAAGGTAAACTCCAGGATGGACTTAACCACATATTTTAAATTGTATGATCCAGATAAAGCAAACAAAACAAGTGCAGTGTACTGTAGTGGATATAGAGCCAGGGGGACCCTGCCCCCTTCTCCCATTGTAAATAATCAAACCATTTTACGAATTCCCCACCTCCCCTAACCATGCCTCTCAGCCATCCTTATTGCAAGGCCTGTCCCAACATCCTGCCTTTGTACCCTGGTGTCTCGCTTTTCGTGACACTAGGAAGCTAGTCATTAGATAGGTTTAGGGCACTCCTGCTATATTAAGGGCATTAGGACCCTGCAGGCAACACTAAAACTGTGCTCCCTACAGACTCTACCCTTAGTGGGACAGCCTGCAGGATGGACAGGTAGCCTAGAGTGTATTCACGGCAAGATGACATGCCATGAACTCAACCAGAGATCCACAACCTTTTAGGTGGAACCACCCCGTTTCTGGCAAGTCTGCCCCTTTTGGAGCAGAGCTAGTTTTAGCTCCCTGTCTGAGCTAAGCCCGGTGGTGCAGGGCTTAGCTCATTGGCTAAAATTGATGCAAGGGCATCAAGGGCATTACAGGATCACTATAGGTAGTGCCAAGTAGCACCACAGAGTGCTGTAGTAGTTCTGGTGCAGAGCGTTCCTTGAAAGTGCCTCTTTTTGCTGTAGTAAAGTCTGTTCAAACTAGTAAGTCAGTGACTATGTTAAATAATTCTAGCTTACTCTTTATTTTTAATACCTCATAATACCATGTTAACCATAGGTGTTTGGAATATGTAGTTTAGCAGCAGCTCAATTTATCACATAAGAAAGCTTTGAAGGACTCATTTAGAGGAGGTGGGAACTTAAGCAGACACCCATCATGCATAATTACTTGGATTGGCAGGGTTATATATCAGCTGCACCCTGTGACATTTCTGAGTGAGTAGGGTCTAATAAGTCTCTGTGTACAGGGACTCGATGACAAAAAAAAAACTTCTTTGAACCTTAACTTATGAAAGGAGCACAGTTTGCTAAGGTGCTTATGTTGCCCATTTATATAATTTGGCTACATTTTCCTTTCAAACTATAGTACCGTAAGTTGAAGATTCAGAAATGTTTAGAAAAACATTCCATGCAGTGACACCAGGTGAAATGTAATTTTAGTGTTGTGATTAGACTTGAGGTTGAGGGGAGTGCAAATTTAATAATTTGTGTTAGAAGCACAGCAGAAAGTTAAAGGTAACCTCAGGGTCCAAAAATGCACATTTGTTATGCATATATAAGTAATTGTAGCCAAAAAAATATGCATTTACTAAAATGTGCTCAAATATTTCCAAAGCACTAAAAAGCTAGATTTGCATCTTTACCCAGCACTTAATTCTTTGAATTGTCCAGTAAAATGCTTCTCAAAGAGAAGAAGTGAGGAAAAATTTCAAGACATGGGTGTTTTCATTGAGATTTACCCATTAACACTGTCACGGCGTTCTATGCCATCCTACATATAGGTGCTTTAAAGAATCTAGGGCAGCATAGAACATCTTGCTTATATGTTATGTGCAGGGTTAGATCCTTGCTCACACTAGGGAAGCACAGGTATCAATGGATACCCTGGGCTCTCCTCTGTCTCCTGTGGCCATTTTTTTCATGAACTGCTTGCTGCGCTGGAAGCAGCTCTTTAAATAGGTATAGCCAGTGCTGGGCTTAGCCAGGTTCCAAACACTGATCTCTGTATAGTCGGTTGAGAGTTAGGCTCATTCAGAATTACACTAAGTGTAATTCAAAAAATTGCCAGTAGGTAGTGGCAACATACCAGTATCTACTGTGTTAAATACAGTACAATCCATTTCTAATATCAGAATAGATATTAGCAATGGGTCACCTTATTGTTGGGGCTTGGTTTAGTGGTGGGGTTAGATTTAGCCGTTACCCTTAGTGTTGGGGTAGGGATAGCTTTAGGGTTAGGCTAAGGTTAGTGTAGGGTTAGGATTAAAGGGACACTATAGTCACCTGAACAACTTTAGCTTAATGAAGCAGTTTTGGTGTGTAGAACATGCCCCTGCAGCCTCACTGCTCAATCCTCTGCCATTTAGGAGTTAAATCCCTGTGTTTATGAACCCTAGTCACACCTCCCTGCATGTGACTTGCACAGCCTTCCATAAACACTTCCTGTAAAGAGAGCCCTATTTAGGCTTTCTTTATTGCAAGTTCTATTTAATTAAGATTTTCTTATCCCCTGCTTTGTTAATAGCTTGCTAGACCCTGCAAGAGTCTCCTGTATGTGATTAAAGTTCAATTTAGAGACTGAGATACAATTATTTAACCCCTTAAGGACACAACTTCCGAAATAAAAGGGAATCATGACGGAATAGTTCCGTCATGTGTCCTTAAGGGGTTAAGGTAAATTACATCTGTTTGAAAGTGAAACCAGTTTTTTTTTCATGCAGGCTCTGTCAATCATGGCTAGGGGAGGTGTGGCTAGGGCTGCATAAAAAGAAACAAAGTGATTTAACTCCTAAATGACAGTGCATTGAGCAGTGAAATTGAAGGGGAATGATCTATACACTAAAACTGCTTTATTTAGCTAAAGTAATTTAGGTGACTATAGTGTTCCTTTAATGCTGGACAGTTAATGGGTTAAAATTTTTTTTTGACATTTATGAATGTGTTTTCATCTTAGAAAGATTAATTGCCTGACAATTGTCTGGTGGCACTGTGTGTGTAAACTAGCCCTGTAAAGCTTATCAAAGGCATCTGGGGTGCTTAGAATCCTGTGTTTTCTGACACCAAATGCAAAAATAACAGATAATGCCAGCCAGGAAGAGCAATTTCCAACTAGCTAAGCCATAGCCCATAGAGGCAGCCATACACACAGAAAACAATATGATAAAACAATGTATCTATGTAATGGCTGAACATTTTAAAAGGCTGCAGGAATACAGTATTTGCACCTTAACCACTTCGGTATGGTGAAGTGGCTACGGTACTGAGAATTTAATAGTGAATTAAAGGACCACTCTAGGCACCCAGACCACTTCAGCTTAATGAAGTGGTCTGGGTGCCAGGTCCAGCTAGGGTTAACCCATTTTTTCATAAACATAGCAGTTTCAGAGAAACTGCTATGTTTATGAATGGGTTAAGCCTTCCCCCTAATCCTCTAGTGGCTGTTTCATTGACAGCCACTAGAGGCGCTTGCGTGCTTCTCACTGTGATTTTCACAGTGAGAGCACGCAAGCGTCCATAGGAAAGCATTATGAATGCTTTCCTATGTGACCGGCTGAATGCGCGCGCAGCTCTTGCCGCGCGTGCGCATTCAGCCGACGGGGAGGAGAAGAGGAGGATCGGAGGAGGAGAGCTCTCCGCCCAGCGCTGGAAAAAGGTAAGTTTTAACCCCTTTCCTCTTTCCAGAGCCGGGTGGGGGCACCCTCAGGGAACTATAGTATGTTTTCCTGGCACTATAGTGGTCCTTTAATGATCTACACTCATATGCAGTTGATTTAATAGTGAATTAATAATCTACACTCATGTCTGCCATTAATTCAACCAATCCATTGGCATATATATTATTGATCTCATTATATTTGAAAGAAATATAAGCTTCAAGCACTTGTATTGATAATGATTAAAAAAGTATGATGGTCAAAACAAAATCTGAATTCTGAAGTGCCCTACTGGACACTCCTGGAGTAAATATAGTAATTAAATTATATATGAATATTCTCACCTGTTGAGACGGGTCTTGTTCTTTGCCTTGGTGCATTGACTGCAATATCAAAGTTTATTTTCATCTGGTTGACTTCCTTGGAGTAGTCTCCAAACTGTTGGAAATTACTAGTGGGAGATGAGACATGCACAATGGTCTCATCTGCTGATCTTGGCCTGTAGTCAAACACACTTAAACGGTTCCTGAGCTCCTGGGAACAAGGCTTCAGGCTGCTGCGAGATGAAGACATGCATTCGCTATACACCGAGGTGCAAGAATTCGACAATGAGCAAGAGCCGCCATCACTGAGCTCATAGAAACCTAAAAAAAAAGAGCAAAATAAAATACAATTATTTTGTCCATGGACACAAAATGGAAGTGTATTTATCATTATTAAAAAAAATATATATCTAAAGTGAGAATTGCCAGGGATTCAAAGTGAATTTCAAATTAAAGGCCAAAAAATTTAAAAAGATAGCATAACTAGTTTGATTTTAAATTTTAAAGTCACTTTGAATTCCCTGCAACTCTCACTTTAGTAAATAGCCCAGATAAACTCCTCAGTGTCAAATAACACAGTGTAAAAATAAAAGTTTGATTGTCAGAAAATAACCTGAACTTTAAATTGAGATCCCCTCATTGTGACTGCAATCATTTCACTTTTAATTTTTTTTTACACAATACAGAAACACCACCAAGCAGCATCGCGTTATATGATAAATTGTTGCAGAATATGTTGGCGTTTAATGCATAAATTGTTGCAGAATATATTGGTGTTTTATTAAATGCTGACATACATTTCAGCGCAGATCCTCCCATCCAAAACATGTTTTACTTCTTGTGATTTCTGTATATTACATATTCTAAAACAGGGTTAGGCAAACCTCAACATTTCAGATGTTGTGAACTACATATCTCCCAATGCTCTTCCAGCTAAAACGCTGGCAAAGCATCAGGTAAGATGTAGTTCACAACAACTGGAGTGCCAAAGGTTACCTACCTCTGTTCTAGAATATGTTGCCCCTGTATTTGCACAAATTACTACAGATGTTTTCTTAGTACTAGAACACTCTTTCAGTGCTATTAGTCTGTGCTAGAGACACTTTCTTCTAAACATTGTTTAATATTATTAGGAAAAGTGTGATAGTAATGTCTACATGTCAAAGGTAACATTTGCCGCTATTCTCAAAGTAAAGAACTTAATAATATTGAAAAATTATAAGATGGAGTAAGATTTTATCTCTATTATGGCTGATCATCCTTTGCACCAAGTCCATGAAAAGATGGAAGGTATGTTGTGCATGTATCAGATGCTCATTAACCATTGCTATAAAATACCTCCAACATGCTTGATGTGTCATAATTGTATTATATAACATATAGCATGTTGACGACCTGATGCTAAATTTTGTATACCTATTTATTTATATTGCTTGTTTGATCTTTAGTTAAGTGCTTTCCACCCCAAGAAATACTGACGGTACAGGTTCCCTCAGTAAACTCATAGAACATGAATTGGGAAATCACTGAATCCTGGACTGTTTGTATGTGTCCAGTTTACAGTGTGTGGAACAGTGGCAGTATTTTATTAAAAAAAAGTAAACAATAAAAAAAAATATATATATATATATATATATATATATATATATATATATATATACACACACACACACACACACACACACTACAGCATCAGTCAAGCTGAATTCACCAGGTGTGAATTTCTACTTACCAGGACTACATTTTTACTCACCATATGCTAGGGAGAGTGAAAATATTGAACCCTGTATATATTCTGATTTAAATTTTCCCATCTATTTATCTGAATTTCCAAATACGAAAACATTACCTTGGAGTAAATCTTATTGGCACTTTTATTTTAAGTACATTTAGAAACATTGGATTTAGCTCTTCTCTGCATTAGGCTTGGTATCAACTTAAAATATAAAAGGACTATTATAGAAGGAATTAAAATTAAATGCATGTTTAAAAAGTCATTAAAGACTATATCCATAGAGGATTAAATATTTTATAAATATTCGTCTCTTAAATGCTAAACATTTACGTCAGTTCATTGTTTCCTTGTGTGGAGATTATTTAAGCTAAATTCCACTTATAATACATACATCCTGCCTTTGATACATATAACACAATAATACCAATTACAAATACTGTTATTGTTAAAAAGATGTAAATAAAGAGAAATCTAACTTACAAAAGCTGCCTAACATTGTACAATTAACATTCATGTTGAGAAGAAAGTTGCATTTTGTGTGATTTGGTAACTGTCAAATTCAACCAACGCCCCATACTTTGTTTTTTGCATCACACAAAAGGTTGAAGCACAACCTAATAAAATATTAATCACCTTTATTTCGCGTATAAACACCCAAGCCCTTAATCCTTCAACATATTTTGTTAACAAATGGGCCTAAAGCCATTGGTACATTAAAGCAAATGGAAAACTGAGCACTTTGTCTGGCCAAACAAAATGTAATTAAAAATAATACAGCATCAAAAGATAAGACTAATGCACGCAACATCTTTAAAAATTTGCAATGAGGCTGTATGCTTCTACAATAGGCATCAATCCAAAAGTATGAGGATAATAATGAAAACCAAGTCACCAATTGTTTAGTGCCGTAATCTTCAAAAGCTTGGACTGTTGATCAATTTGATATCTATAAAATCTACTTGCATTTACATGCTTAAGTTATTTAATAGTCACAGCACTAAATCGTTTGCATTTTTCTTGAGTCTGTTTGGATCTTTCTTGAATTCTAAGGCAGGGCTTGACAAATTTGCTTGAAATCTAGGAGCCAACTAAAAAAGTTAGGAGACAGATTTTTAAATGTCAAAAATACAATTCTTAAAGGGACACTATAATAACCAGAACCACTACAGCTTAATGTAGCTGTTCTGTAGTCTATATACTGTCCCTGCACGCTTTCCAACGTAAACACTGACTTTTCAGACCAAAGGCAGGGTTTACCTAAAGCCAGGTTCAAAATGAACTTACATTTGGAATTTAATACATGAGGGAACACAGCTACACTTTAGGACCAACGAAATATTGAAACCTAGTTTGTATTATGCTACACATTGTGTATGTTGTAAGATAAGGTATACAATTCAAAAGAATGTGGATAACCAGTTATCTAGCTTTTTGTCCACACCATAACACTGCTTCATTGGTCTCCTGCAACTTTTTTATTTTATCATTTATGTATAAGGTTCATTTATGTATGAGTATGCGGAAAGAGAAAGACTGTGTGTTTCGATCTCACACAATGTGGGAATCGAATGCACAGAGGTCAGTATGGTGGTTCCAGATCCACCATGAGGGGCTTGTACCCCAAATATTGAAAAGAAAACGAAAATAATAAATTAGAGTCTCAAGGGAAAGAGGCTCAAATCTGGTTTTAAAACAAAGTCAAGGATAATAATGATTACAAATATATACTATAAGCAAATTGGGAAATCAGCACGGAGTAGTAGTAATGGTGGGTGGGGGGTGACCTAACCTAATTGATCACATATATCCATTCCAAAGAGGTGCCAAAATTAATACTTATGGTAGCACTAGGTGTTTAGCACTCCTTAATTTTCTACTCTTTCAGGCCGGAGTTTATTTAGCTTTGGGGGATGTTTTGAGAGAAGTTTCTCCATTTATTAGGGACAGTATAGAACACCCTTGAAGGTGTTTGTCTCAGGAGCTGACAGGGTTGTATAGCTTCACTTTATTATTTTTGGAGCCTGTTTTAGTATACAAGATCAGTATACAAGATTTCTCAAGGTGTCCGATTCAAGAGCAGACAGCTTACTTCTTTCATTTTGCCAAGTGGGTTTTGGAGCCTCATAAGGACAGCATAGTACACTCTTGAATGTGTTTTATTTAGGAGTTGACAGGGATTTTAGCACTGCAGTATTTGTCTGGAGCCTCCCTCTACCCTTTACAGTGTCCTCCAACTATGTGTCCATTACCTCTTTCATAGACTTGGATATGTGTACTATCACCATTTAGCAGACTTTCTTTTACCAGCCAATTTCTTTATTGGTGTGGATAACTTTTACTTTGTTTAACTGCCTCATGGTCTATCCTTGATCCCTCTACATAATACTGTCATTGTCCTTTTTTGCTTCACTGAATATGTTCCATCTATAATGCCTTTTTTTAACATAATAAAGTGTTTATTAATTTTTGCACCTCTTTGGAACGGATATATGTGATTAGTTTAGGTCACCCCACCCTCCCCCCCATTACTACTATTCCGTGCTGATTTACCAATTTGCTTATAGTATATATTTGTAATCATTATTGTCCTTGACTTTGTTTTAAAACCAGATTTGAGCCTCTTTCCCTTGAGACTCTAATTTATTATTTTAGTTTTCTTTTCATTTATGTATGACCCTTGTAGCCATGTAGCTCTAAATTATTGGCTCTTAAGGTTTGCCAGTTTTATTATGCATTTAACAGATGCAGATATAATTTAGAATTCGGCACTATTTTAATAATAAAATCATATAAATGGTAAAATGTATTACCTGAGCTAGGTCGACTGTCACTATCCAAATGTTCGTTTGATGCTTTGCTTGCATCCAGTTTCAGTTCACTGATTTGCTGATCGAGCTGATCCAAGTGACTTTTCAAACCAACATCTTGCCTTCTCAAACGAGACTATTAAATAAGAGATAGAAATTATTTTTAGCATAAAACAAGATTAATCAATATTGTCAAACCATTTATTTCTTACAAACTAACGGAGAGTAAAGTATTGAAAACATCTATAGCATACATGAGGAGAGGTAATATGAATATTGGTGGTTTATCTCCTTAAACATGGGTTCATCTCTAGGTTCTAGAGCAAAACTTTGAAATATCTCTACTTGTTACTGCCATGTACACAATTCATATTTAAAATTATTCTTTATTATTGGTTTTAAATAGTGGTTTTAAAATGTTTAAACATATGTACTTCTACGATAGCATAGAATGACTTAATAGAAGATAAAACAAATTTAAAAAAAACAATAAAAATAGCAAATAAGTGTTTTAAACAAAAAGGAGGTAAATAGATGTACTTTGAATATACTTTATTTTTCTAATTCATAGAAAACAAGTCAAATTCTAAATGGTATTGCTGCTTTTTTTTTTTTTAATAAAAGTAGTAAGCGTTCTTTTCTTTTTCTCTACAAGTGATAAGCTGCTTAGAAAATAGCAAGGAATGAAGAGTGCAATGGTCCTCACAGAAAGTCTTTAAATAAATAGAATGTAACATACAACTTGCATAAAGAAATGATAAATCTTTCCACCCCATAAATAACATTATTTTCAAGTTTGATATTCAGCAAACAGCTTTAAAAATAGTACATCTTGGATATATGTGCATCAGCAGGGGAGGGTGGGGGGTGGAAAGAGAACACTTTCTTCTTAGATAATATCCAGTAATAATAATAATAATACAATAATTTTTGTATCGTACATGAAAACTCCTATAACTATGAAAAACTTACAGTGTTATTTACTAAAGTGAGTATTGATCAGAATTCAAAGTGAATTTCAAATTTAGAGTCAAAGTAGCTAAACTGGAAGCATTATTAAACTGGAGAATTCTCCCAGTTTGGCTGCGTTGACCTTCAATTTAAAATTCACTTAGAATGCACTTTGTATTTTCAACAATTCTCACTTTTGAAAATAACCCCTACTAGACTTGGACCTCTCAAGAATGCTGTGCCATGGGGGAACACTTATGGCATTTGTACCTAGGAGAGACGTCAGTATGTGAAACCAACCCAATAGCAGTTACTTTTAAATATTCTTCATGTCCCTACTTGAAAAAAAATCTGCAAACAAAATACAGCACAGGTTCCATAACCTCTACTTTTATAGACTTATCTAAAATGTCAAACTTTCCATCCACATGTTTGTTCAGATAATAATAATATGTACATGACACATATAACTAAGCAATAGTTGTAAATGTTACTGTGTAGAGAAAATTCATAAATCCATCAAGTAAGAGTCTATAAAAATTCATAGTAACCATAAAGACATCAAGTTGGAGAAATCAAAAATGTTTCTACTGACAACATAAATTTTAATTCGTCATTTTACAAATTAGATAAACCAGGTATTTTGTGATTAGCACATTTGAGAAAAATTATTTTCTAACTCATATTTTGGCTGGAATCGGTGTCAAATCAACTCCACTTCTTAGAGAATAAATCTGCAGTTGTATAATGTTTTAACCTATGGAACATTAGAGTATAAATACAAGACATTTCTAGAAAAAAAATACTAAGATAGAATGTTGTTATTGGGTAAATTATGCTCCTGAGTTTAGTAGCACTCAGCAAGTTTACAACAAACTCAGCAACAATTTTATTGCAGTTACATTAGCTGAGAGGTGCAATTTCACCTTTGGTTAGCAAAGACCTCTCTAAGATTATTTAATTCCCAGTTAACATACACTATCTCCAAACTGCTTCTCCATGGCTACCTAAGAAATCCTAACTCAGGAGATATATCACAAGGCACTGTCAAGCCAGGTTAATTATGTGTGTTAACATTAAGTCTAACAGGTTTATTTACTAAACTCTTGCAGCAGATGGAAATCTTAAAAGAATAATTCAGACTAAATATGCCAAACTATGACTATAGTTGAGCTGAAGAATTTTTCCAAATTCTCTATTTCACTGTAATATTCTCATTTGGATTCCAATTTACTGTCATATATTCATATTCACTATATTAATAATAAATATATTCATATCCATTATAGTGTGTAGTTTGGTGAATAATCATGTAATTCATATTCACTATATTAATAAATATATTCATATCCATTATAGTGTGTAGTTTGGTGAATAATCATGTAATAATCACGTAATGTGACCTGCTTGCATGCCACAAAAGCTTTAAAAAGAAGTCTACTCAAGTAAGACTAACATAACACTCTTTTATTTGTATATAAAAACAAGCTAACCACAAAATATAGTTGTATAGCATCAACTTGGTATGTTGGTAAATTAATGATAAATAAATGCACATCTATGACCAACGGAAAAGGAGCCCTGCTTATTAGATTGTGTAATCTAATGCTTTACTAAATATTACTAATATTAGCTAGCACACAGATCAGTTAAGATACTTAAAATATGATACAAAAATATTAATTTAATTCACTAGTGGCCAGCAGCTACAAGGACATCACATTTTACTACTTTGTCATTATTTATAGTGAAAGACATTCCAAGAATATTCAACACAGCACACACTCTGCAATGTTTATTTCATCATTTGTTGGTGGTAATGGTGGTTTGCAAAAGATACTTATAGTCAACTCATGACTCCCTGAGTAATGTTAAACATCAGGTAGTCCCAACTTATCGAAATAGTAACAAAAGCAAAATGTGAGAGTATGAACTTACTGTTTAGTCATGCATACAAGGTTACATCAAAATATGAAAAAAATACATACAGTATCTGAAAACAAAATACACATAATACAAAATTGTGTAAAACTGTATTGCACTTAAAATATTTTAATTTGCTTAATCCTAAAAAGTAACCACTCACATTTTAGATCCTTGCGACTGGCTCTAATCCTTTGGGCTCATGTGCCTTTCTCAGGTAGCACCCCATTTTATGAAAATGTAATATCCAACATAAAGAGAGGATATAAAACAGGGACAAATCTGAATTTGTATCCTCAGAATGGTAGTGGATTATAATCCAGAAATAATTTATCCTGCACACCTTGTTTATAACCCTAGAAATCTGTACTACAGGAGTATAGGTAATGGCGTCAATATAGGGTGACATCTCTGCCCTTTGACCATATGACATCACTCTCAAAAATAAAGCATACGTAGAAAGAAAAAAAAAGTAGTGCAGCACAGTATGTTTACCAACACCCAACTATAATAATTAGGTGCACTTACTCTGTAAAGAGCCTTAACATTTAGCTCTGAAGTAATGAGCTTATGTGTTATTAGACTGATGTAAACACAAGATCTTCCACCCAAGAGGCAGCCAAGGACCACAGTTTGCAGATAAAATATGGCATTATTTATAAAAACAATTAAACAAATGCAAAAACAAAATAAAAGTCTGATGATATTTGACAGCACATTCCTCAGAGACACATTTCACCAATAATCAGACAATTTTTTTTTTAACTTTTCCTTTCCTTTTGAATCGTATATCTACTCCCCTTCCTGCTACTTGTCTTTATTTTTCTTAACTTTTGGTTCTTATGCTGGAACTCCATATTTTTACATTGTCAGTTTGCTTGCTCTGGGTTAGGTAAATTTGTTTGGCAACTGAAATGGAACTTTGCTTAATCTCCGTATACATGGCCTATTTGCTGAAAGGCCAGTTTCCTCAGTACGCCCCCTGCAGTCCATTCATTTACACATGTATATTAATGAATTTGTGTTATAGTAATTTTATATTCTGCTTACGATATATATATATATATATATATATATATATATATATATTATTATATATTAATATATTTACATTTAGTATAGATTTATTAATGAAAATTTTGGCCTTTGTGAAGACTCAAACACTCTCTGACCTATGGAGACACGCAAAAACTCACTGACCCTTGCAGACAAACACTGACCTTGTTGAGCAAAGATGACTGGCCACTGGGCTGGGTAAACCATGGCTGTGGTGGCTTTATGGGAAATCTGACCCTGTCTGCATATTGCCAAAGATCATTCTCGAAACAGGAAAACAGAGATCCTATTTTATCTTATGTATACCTAAAATATAGCTAAACAACTAATGTGAATGAAAAATAAAATAAATTAATTAAAGCAAGGAGAAAAAGAAGGGACAAAAAGGATTATTTAAAAGGAAACCCTGCGAGAGCCACTTTAATGCTACCATGGCAATTGATTAGGAAAAGAAAACTGCGGTTAAGTATATAATGAATTCCTTATTCTCAATCCATTCACCTTTGGTAGGTTAATTACTAAATTACTTTTTAAGAAGTTACAGTTTCCGTTCCCTTGCCCAAGTAAAAGGTCATAAAGAGTTGATGAGTGCATAGTAAGTATATATATCAGCATTTCTGAATGTAGCTCCTCCATATTCCTGATGCTCTTGGCGTGTGTCTGGTATCATTCTACAGAATGCTAAATGGGCATTCATTTGATGTTCCCATAGATTTTAAGCTCATTTGAGTAGGGCCTTCTTGAATGTTTTCAGCTGCAGGGTTTAAATGGAGGAGGGGGGAGGCTGAAGTGTTAGTCACTTTAAGTGAAATTGAATTCAATCTCTGTGCACCCACAGTTTAGCATAGGAGTTAATTGAGAAAAAATGTTTTCTCTTAAATACCACAACCCATAGCTTTAAATTAGCTATGAGGCTGTACAAACCAACATGAAATTACAATTCCTCTTTAAATAAATATACCATTTGCCTGTAAAGTAGCAAAGACACGCTGCTAGGATTAAAGGGACACCATAGTCACCAAAATAAATTTAGCTTAATGAGGCAGTTTTGATGTGTAGATCATGCCCCTACAGTATCATTGCTCAATTCTCTGCCTTTTAGTAGTTGAATCACTTTGTTTATAGAGCCCTAGTCACACCTCCTTCCATGTGACTTACACAGCCTTCCTAAAAACTCTCTGTAAAGAGTTATTTAAAGTTTGCTCTTCCTTAATTGCAAATTCTGTTTCATTAGAATTTCTTATCTCCTGCACTGTTAATAGCTTGCTATATAACCTGCAGGGGCCTTCTGTATGTAATTGAAGTTCAATTTATAGAGCTGGGGATAAAAAGTTACATCTCATTGAAAATGAAACCATTTTGTTTTCATGTAGACTGTGTTAGTCACAGCCAGGGAATGTGTGGCTAGGGCTGCATAAACAGAAGCAAAAGTGATTTAACTCCTTAATGGCTGTGAATTGAGTAGTGAAACTTGAGTAGTGATCTATGCACCAAAACTGCTTCATTAAGCTAAAGTTTTTTTGAGACTATAGTGTCCCTTTAACACTAGTATTATAATGGGTTTAAAGCAATATCTGTAGTTTTCCACTATGTGGCATATAAGAATCGATAGAGGAAATACTACATTTACTTATTTTCTTGTCAAATTGTTAATATTCAAACTGTTAAATAAAGAAGTAAAGAATGAGACCATTTACTACCTTTAATATGTTTATTTTGTTACTTACAAAATGTGAAAAAACACAAAACAAAAAATAAACAACCAAATATGTATGTTCCGTATTTCTGTGAAGATATACAGGAACAAACTAGGGTTGGAGACATCATTATAAAGTTAAAGGACAACTGTCATCAAATTTGGACTTCTTGTTTGTTTGTGAAAAGTAAAAATTTGATGACAGATTTTCTTTAAGTAGCTTTGGGTACCATTAGAATGACTTTGGAAAGTGGATGCAATTTCCTGTCCTGTATCAGGATAATTGAATCAAAAGAATAAATGAAATATGTTTCAACAAGCTGAATTTAGATAACTGCATACTATTGGCTAGTGATTGGTGCTTAGTTAATTGAACTCTAGATATACTAAAATATTCCTTATCACATTATGATAGATAATGATATACTTCACATATAGTTATGTATATATAGTATTTGATTAATGTAACATAAGACAAGTCATTCTAGATTATATATGTTTGAGCTGAAGACTTCCTATTTCAGTTAATGAGTTAACATCTTGGCGAAATAAGATCTTGCTTTTGTTCTTAAGCAACTCTCAATATAAATTAGTCCATTACATGCTTTCAGACTTACAGGTGATGTAATGGAAGTGGAATGATTGTTTTGTTTCTAGCAACTGTGTGTAACTGTATGTGTGTGCCTCTGTGTGGGTATCCGTGTGTGTGTTTGCAGTGTAGGTGTACATACGCATAGATCTAAGCATGCAAATGCCAACACTAAACACAAACACACCGTGCATTCTAAACGCCAACACTACATACAAATACACCACTGCATACAAACACATTCAAAGACAAAAACTACACACAAGTATACACCTGCATTCACATAACCCTACTCCATACAAAAACATGCTTACATTCAAACACACAGATAGTGGTTGCACATAAAGCCCTGCAAGACTGGGCAAATGGGAAATCCCCAGCTGGAAAAGCATTGTGGGAGCTCTACGAAAGTTAGGATCTACCTTTTTGCCACACTCATCATATAGGTGTGGCCCTAAAAATTCCTTTAATCAAGGCTGTCTCTGTATTAGTTCCACCACTACCTGATAGTGTGAAGAAATTATATTTATCGAGGAAACCATGGTGGATCTAGTAATTAGACTAGTAGCACATTTTTTTTTCATATTTGTTTAATATAGAAATTCAGAATTGTAATGTAGCATGATTTATTGTGGGTTATTCACAAACAAATCGTACAATGAGTGTATTATATTTTTAGTTATGTTTTTGGGAGAGTTATTTTGTAAAAAGATTCATATTTTTGATAAGGTGATAACTCACCTTGGAGTGTCCAAATAAAGTATAGTATTAAAATATATTGATTTGTGGGCGTACGGTGCCTTTAGCATGTCACTGAGTTTAATACTGTTATCTCTTAGGCTATTCTCCATAAATGATTAATCAATGTTCTACTCGATGACTCTTATTGAAAGCAAGGAAATTGTCAGGGTTTTAAGAGGTATCTCTTGTTAAACAACTTCTGTTAAAACAAGATCTAAAAAAAAATATTTTAAAAAACACAGCTATTTTGTACACAGCACTGATAACTTATTTTGTTGATCCAACATAATCATTTAACCTAGACGCTAAATCCAATTTCCTCTCTGCAACTCAAAGTGATATAATATCGCCATAAAATAAATCAACTTCCTTTAGTTGTTTTTTTTTCCTTTTTGTCTGATTGATACCTGATGACCAATTATAACACCCATGGTGGAAAATGGGTTTGAATTAACTTGAGATCATTGATGTGTGTAATTGCCAGAGTTAGAAAAAGGAGATTAAACTACTTATGGTCTCAGTTTGATCTTGGTGGACGTTTATGAATTCAAATTCACAATGTAAATAGCACAAGCTACTTTTTGTCAAATAATTCTATTCAACATAGTAGCAAGACCTCTAAGAATAAAAGGGTTTTGTGTCTCTGTCTTAACCTATTTAAAAGGACCTTTGATGTTGGCTATTTGTAATTAATGCTCAAAATGCTTGAGGGGGTTAAAAAAAAAAGAACCGTAGTAAATCTGGAGTGTAACGTGTTTAAGTTAATCATCACCCTGATTTATTTTACCCCCTATGAATCAAGAATTCAGTTTACTGTTAGGAAAACACTGTCTCTGAAGCCGAGTTCACTTACAAAAACACGGACATATCTTAAGAATAGAACCTAAGTGTGAAAGAAAACATAGACAACTGTACCACTACCATATGTTGGTATACTTGGAAATCAAACAAGAACTCCCACTTAGCAAAGTTGGAATTAAAGTGTGAATATCCCGATTGACGTAAAGAATGGAGGAGAGCTGTGAAAAGTGTTTCCGAAAATACAGCCAACATTGTGTACATGATCTAGTGTTGTCTTTGTGTAGTCTTCCAATCCATGTGGGTGGGGAATGCCTCCATTTGGGGAACTGCAGCTTCTATAATTCTGTCACTCCCCATGGCTGACAATGCATCATGAAATTGTGGTTCCACAACTCATCGAGAGTTACATTTTAGCTATCCATTGTCTTTACCATGGGTAAAATTAAATAAGTGTACTAAACAAGCCCTAATAGGTTAGAGGCAAAAGGGTGGATTTAGATTCAAGTTTATACATTAAAGTGTCTCTGTGTGATAGGCACACTTGTTTGAAAATAACATTTAAATTAAATCCCATCTATAAATTGGGCAAGTTTCAAGAAGAATAGCTAAAAATTATATACATTGGGAAAAAAATCTATGTAAAAATATGTCCCTCTCCAACCTGACAATAGATTGTTCAGCACAGAGTTAATATAGAAAGAACTGACTGACAGGGAGAGCAGAACAACCCTCCTACAGACAATTCTGCTCTCCAGCATAGCAACCACAGGGCAAGTGAAATGGTTGCTATAATTATTGCTTATTGCGTTTCTTGCACTGGCTGTACTTTGTTAACTTACTGGTGCGTGTCAGAGTTATAGAGGAGGTTTGCCCTGCTTTGGTGTGGTCCCAACCAGGGCAAATCAAACCATAGAGGAATGGGCAGGACCAGATATGGTTGTTACAGTAATACCCACAGGAATGGCTACAATGGAGATGAGATAAGTAATAATATATGTAGAAAGTATCCCTCAAATATATAATTTATCTCTCTAGTCATTGAGCTGGAGTAAGTACTAATATCTAGTAATTCTACATGGGATGTATCATTTGTCTCACTGCTAAATTATAAAGTCATTGCCTACAGAGGGATTTTGGCTTAAGTGAAACTGCCAGTTAAAGCACCATGACAGCTTATGCCAATTGCAAAGGTTGGCATAGAGTTATGCTACCACTGAGTTACTGCACAGATCTGAACTAGCGTGACTCATAAGAATCAATGCAGCTTTAAGACAACTCCCTGTCTCTCTAACAACAAAAGTGTACGTTTTACTTCCTACTTTGTCATCCAAGATCTGTCCATGTTTCATTCTGTATGCACATCTCTCACCTATTCTATCCAGCTCTTGAGAGGGCCTAAGTTGTATCAGTATGTATTTGCCAGTGTATACCTTGCGTAGGAGATTACAGTTTTAGGAATTTTAACAGTCAGTATATTTTCCTTCTTTTTTTGTGTGTATTGTTTACTACATTATCTTTGTAATGTTTTTTTAAGGGGTCACTTGAAGTCCTATAATGTCTCTTTGCTAAAACATATAATGTATGTAGATCTGTCGGATCCACCTTGCTTTTCTAAAGTACTGTGGAGTAGTTTGAAATTAAATACCTGGTATTCAAATGCTGCAAGAGGGAAATCATATATTACTAGTCAAGACAATTCCTTTGGGATTCTTCCTTGATTATGGCAGGCATTTATCTCCTGCTGCATCGAACGTGTCTTCAATATTGATACTATAATATGATAATGAGTTAATATTCTTGGTTTTCTAACATTATGCCATACTTTTTGCATATTTTTCTCATAGACTACAACTTGGGATTCAGACATAAGACTAACATTTGTATCTAGCCAGGTAGAGTCTCCAGATCCATCATTTTTACTGGATACAGATTACTTTCACAAATGTAAGTGCAGTTCATGAGAAGTCCTGCAATTCATTAATCAGAGAGAAATAATGCAGCATGGGAATTTTAAACTCTACAGGACAGAAAATGCAATATGCTACCCTTTGGCATGTCCAAGTAATATGGTTCCAGGAGAACATGGTGGCACTGGTAACTCTGTGGCCAAGTATAAAAAAAAAATCAATGATAATGATATCAGGGCTTAAAGGGACACTCCAGGCACCAAAACAACTTAATCTAAATTAAGTTGTTTTGGTTCCATAAGCAGCCTAAACTGTCACTGTATCATATTAAGTCCTACACTATTAGCCAGGCCTTAAAAGCTTGTCTCTACTGCAAGCCATAGCATGCTCACCAGAGGCAAACTTGTGCACATCAGGACTACATTTTTACTAGCTAGTGGCAAGCGGAAATTCTGAGCCCTGATAATAATTGTGTAGAGATTTTGTCCTAGTGGAATTTAAAGCAATCATCCTATACACCATAAAAGTCAATAAAATGACTTGGGTCCACAGTAGATGTACGAAAACCGAATTTCAAATAGAATCATAACTTGATTTGAATCAGGGAGAAGAAAACATGTTAATCAAATGTTAAAATTAATAATAGCTGTATGCAAAAAAAAAAAAAAAACAAGTAAATGGTACAGAGAGACAAATACAAGAATTATGTTTATTAATTAACCTTTGCGAGATAGTACATGAACTAGGAAAGACAGAGCAATCTATTTCTTCTTAAACCATCCTCTTTAACTAGCGGCAATGGAATTTTAACCCTGCCAGTGCAAGAGACAGTATAACAATTGGAGAACAGAGAAACTGATTAACATTTCAATGCACTCAGCATCCATTGGGGGGAGAGTTTCTAGTCACTGGAAATACTTATTCTTATTTAACATATGACCTTACTTTTTCCAGTGATTTATACAATACCGATACTGGACTATACGGGTAATTTGCCTATCTAAGCGAACAGATTGTGTTGATACTCTATAGGGTCAGACATGTTACATATGGTACATTGTTGCTGAATAAGTTGGCGCTATATAAATGCTAATAATAATAATAATAATAATAATTATTGTTTGCCCATTCAATGTGCCCATGCAGCACCTGCCAGAAACCAGCAGCTCCATCAGACAATGATGTATTTAATCACATACTTACATATAGAACACAACAGCAATAAGAACCATAACAACAATAATGTACTGAATATCAAATGCAAAGGAATTCAATTCACAATGACGTTGACAAATGTTGATTTTTTTAAAACAACTTAATCCAAATAAATGTTGATATAAATCATGTATGCCTATTTGTACCCTCCTCGGTTGTAACCTATACAGATACTTAGAGCTTCCTAGCAGGGACATCTTAGTTCTCTATCTATATGTCAACATGAGTAAAGACAAAAATACTTATAATTAACATTTTTTTTTTTTTTTAAATAATGAAAAATGCAATATATATATATGTTTAGAAATCTTACCAATTGCTCCTTCAGTATGCTTAGTGTAGCTTCCAGCCTTTGCTCCTCACAGTGAAATGAGCCCATTTGCAGTTTAGCGCTGGGCTGCGCCGTCAGTGGTTGTGGTTCTGCATTGATTCCCAACGCTGCGGTCACCAGTCTCTGCTGCTTCTCCCGCAGCAGATGGAGCTCCTGGACCCCAGCCAAGGCTGCCTGCAGTCTCTCTCCAAACCTGCAGCGGTCCCATCCAGCCAGCCCTGCAGATGACCTAGTCCCGGGCAACATCTTCGGGTAGTCTAGTAGTTTGTGGTCATCGCCAAGACAAAACCAATGTACAGACTGGATAATGGTTGGCACGCTGTGTCTCTTATCAGGTGGGTTTCAGGCATGTAGGGGCATACATACACAATGTCCCACAATGCTAGAAGCTGAATTTGCCTGTCTCTGACCTGTTTTTTAAATGGTCTGCAGGCAGGATGCAGATGGCTAGGGAAAGCGTCCTCTGTTCTGATTGCTCCGCAGGAAACAACAAGATTGGTGTCTGGATAAGCACTGAGACTTGTCTGGTCAGTTTTGTCAGCTGCAGTGCTAAGTCTGGTTGACACCTACCTGTAAGGAAATCTAGCTGCATCACCCCCACCTCCTCCCCTCCTCTACACCCTCCCCTCTCCTCTCCTCCTGTAAAGTCCACCCTTTTTGGCTGACACTATCCTGCTAACGCCAACAAATATCTCCATCATTTTCTATTTTTTTCTTGCTTTCTTTTTTCTCTTTTTTTGTACTGCAATGTAATTTGTCATCAAGGACACATCATGACCTAGAGGTCACAGATTATCGCTTATGTACCTAATGCACGTATTCTGTCTAGTTTTTCTCAAATGAAAGATAAAGACACTTAGTTTGGCAAACACATTTCTATTCTGTATATGTTTACCAGTCATTCCTCAAATCAGGGGTGATACATGAATACAGATGGCATAGCTGTTTCTTTTTAACCCCTTCAAAATCAGGGTGAGGTAAATCCTTTTCTGGCAAGTTTTAGCATGTCATTGTTCCTAAAATGAAAAAAAAAAAAAATAGCATGCAAGGCAGACAATAATATAATAATATGAAAAAGTATACATGAAAGTGTAATCTAAAAATATATATACATATATATATATATTTTTTTTTTTCTAGTCAGAGATGAATTAAACATTTGTAGAATTTATTATTGCGAATTTTGTTGCTAATTGATTTTGGTATGCTAGTTCTCTATAGCATTGGTCAGCGCGATATACCAAAGCTCCATGGTTCTCTTTGACAAGATTTTCCTCACTATGGAAAAAACTCTGTCAAACCCTGACACCACCTTCCATTCCACTTAATAAAAACTGGTCAGCATTCAGAATAGAACAGAATTAGACAAGTATGCCCATCTCCAAGTAATGATAGAGAGAGTGTATGTGGGTGTGTGTGTGTGTTTGTGTGTGTGTTTGAATCCCGAAGACCTGAGGAAGAGAGGAAAACTCTTGAAAGCTTGTCTTTTAAGTATTATGTTAATCCAATAAAAAGGTATCAGAGCATACTGCAATACTCAAAATTTTGGCATCTTCTCTAATGGACTAATATGGCTAATCCAACCTATCTATCTATCTATCTGTCTATGGCCTGGGCATGTAATTGCTCATAAATAATTTTCTTATGTGCAGCAGAATATCTGTGCATACAATTAATTTGAAGTAGCATGATGTTTACAGAAAGTAAAGGAGTGAAATTGAAATACTATGCTGTCTTTTCCACTAACCACCATCTCATAGATAAATAGAATAATGGGTTCATATTTGCAAATGCCAATAAATAAAGAATCCCCAATTTTTTCCACCAATTTCTAATTGGCATCCACAATGCAATCTGAGTATTCTTGTCCTATAGAATAGTGTATTCAGGTTAAACGAGATAGAATAGATTGAGATTAACATGCTCTATCTTAATAACTATGTAATTGTGTTCATTGTGTGTTGGACTGGCAATCAGATTTCCACTTATTTGAGGCACCCCGTGGGACTGCACAACATGTGGGTTTCAGTTACAACACTAATTTACTATCACTATCTTCTTCCCATAGTATAGCGATTCGTTAGCTAGAGCAAGAAGAGTTTGTTACTTTTGATTACATGCTCTGCAGAGCAGCAATCATTTTTCCATTACCTGAACTAGGGGAGTGTACTTAATAAAAAAAAAAAAAAAATGAGTCACTCATCTTATAGTGCAGTTAGCTGAGTAATCCTGTTAATGTCAATAAATAGGTTAACAAGGTGTATGTTGTTATTTGTGAGAAAGAAAATGTGGTTTACAAGAGAAGTGTGTATTTCACCTTATCCTACTGTGTAATATTTACTCAGGTTTCTTTCTTTCGTTGCTCTCTCTATCATTTTGCATACACACTTAATTTTGTAACTTTGTCATGTTTGTAAGAAGTGGCCACTCAGGTTAATCTTATCATGTGATATGTCACATATGTGTTGCATACTGTAATGTGAAGTCAACTAATTGGTTTGTTGATACTGATAAAGGTTTATTAGGTGATTAAGAGGTGTATTCAAGCAAATTGTTTAACAATTGTCCTCTAACCAGTTATTTATCTCCTTACATTCAGCTGAAATTCACAAAAAATACTAGCAAGCAAACTGAAGATTAATAAAACCAAACTGTGCCATATTGGCCAGAATTATCCTTAACTTGAATCCAATAAAACACCTTAAATTGACCCAAATGCTATGCAAGTTGGAACAGAATAATTCAGAAACCATGTTCAAGGTTTATTTACCAAACTGTCCTTTAAATTCTAAAATTCCTTAGATTCTCAGAATATATAATCATTCCAGCTTGATGTATAAGCTGTACAGTTTGGTATAATAAGTAAAGAAATAAAATGAAACAAATGAGGTCTGACGACAACTTATTTTAGCATGCAGCCAAGTTCAGGCACATCCTCCTGTGTTACAATATGAAGGGGAAGTGAGAGGTAAATAGACCATTTTGGGAGTGGGGGTCTTTGCGACTCCTGCCAGGACAGGGAGAATAATAATCATAGCACTTTCATGCTCCCCACTTCACTTTCAACGGCTGATGTAAACTGTAGAGGTTTTCAACAACCAACTAAAAAACATGTGAAGGGGGTTCTAGGCTGCTTCCTATGTCCTTACCCAATTTGTGGTGAGTGAAAGTTTAATATAAAGGCTGAATATTTGTTTTGCTTAAAGTATGATATCCCAATCAACAAAAAGAACCAAGAAGTGACCAACCTCACTATTTTATACCATCCAGTTCTAACAAGACATGTGCTGGAAATCCCTTCCATGTGGAGCCGGGAGCGACAACATTGACAGCCCAAAGTGCAACTGATGTCCAAAACAGCTCCGCCAACATTGTTTATTTTACCCCCAAGTGCTGTGCCAGGGGATACTCAGTACCTCTTGCACTAAGTGGCTATCATATGTAAAACCTTTGAAGTCTCTATCTATCAACACCATGTCAAAAAGATATGTGTTGAGGTGGATGTCTTACTTATACTTTAACTAATATATAATGGGGTGGCAGGGCTTCTAGTGGTTGTTGGCATGGTTTCATTTGCAGGGTTAAAACTACAAGGACATGGCAAAGTGGTCTGTGTGTCTACAGAGTCCTTTTAACCTGAATAAAAATACAGGATATTCCTCCATTGATAAGTATTCACATTTGTATATTTTTCAGATGATGACGTACATGCTACTACCAAAAGACAGTGTATTTTCAATCTGTGTAACTTGTGTAACTTGTCCTGAAAAATTCCGTGTATAAAAAATGAAAAACAAATAAATGAAATAAATTAAGGTTTGGATTTTTTCCTCCTGAACTGAGTTTGCATGTTTGGGTACAATAGCTTCCTTTGCACATAAATTTCCTTTGAACGATACCTAAAGTAGATTTTTAAATCTACTATGTCTATATTAGTCAGATCTGGATCTTAGCAAATTGTTCTTAAAATTCTCCAACTTGGATCCTTCTGTGTAATATTCATGAATTATTTGTAAAAATACTTAGTATATTTATTTTCTCAAATTTTTGTTATTTATTTTTTTACAAGTGTTTTACTAGTAGTAAGTGTCAATCATATAAATAATAATAAACATGCTTGGTTTAACCTGCAGTATGTTTGTACTGGAATTTATAACAGATTTCTTATTTGCATTAATCTTTACATTGAGAGATTAATGAACTGTGCCTTTTCCAATTGTCACATAACAAAAGGGAAACCAGAGGATGATGCTGTAATTATGTGCACATTCCAATGGTCTAGTAGTATAAAGAATCAGTGCCTATAAATGTATATGTGCCTGTCCCTCCATCCTTTCCAGAGTCACAACTGTCAGAGCATACCAAGTATATTCGTCATCTATATTTACTTTATTGCACACCTTTTAACCATAAGATTTGATATCCCAAGATGAGTTGAGAAAGAAATAAATGAGCAAGAGATATCCAAAAATATCTTCCAAATATATAAAAACTTGTGAGTTTCTGTCAGGGCCGGACTGGGAAAAAAATTCTGCCTGGACATTTTTTAATAATAGAGGCCCCCTGAGAAGGGGGGCGGGGCCAGAGAGGGTGTGTTTTGTCATCACTAATGACAAGCACACCTCCTCTCAAAGTGAGCATATTGGTTCAATGTGCAGAGCCCCGCTGAAGAGCTCTAGCATGATAAAAAGCCCCTGTATTTGTTCTGCGTAGTGCAAGCAAATGTGTGAGGGTGTGTGTGTGTGTGTGGGAGGGGGGAGAGATTTAAATATATATGTATTATTTTTAAATTAAATAAAAAACAAAATAAACTAAATATTCCCTCCCCTCCCTTCTTACCTTTAGCCTGGTAGTAATGGGGGGATGGGGGGAACCATGCTGCCATCCCTGGTGGTCCTAGTGGTGAGAGTGAAAACTAGCCTGCTCAGATCACGAGATCTGAGCGTTGCCATGGTAGCTGCGGCAATGCTTCGATCTCGCAAGAGGAACCTGGTGGAGCTGCAGGTTAGAGCTCCAACGGGTTGTCTTTCCCCTACCTCCCCAGCTGGAGGGCGCTTGTTAGTGCTAGTGGGCCATGAAGGCACACAGCAGGGCCAGCGCTCGGATAGCACGGGCCCTGCATGGACCGGCCTGGGAGATCCTGTGATCTCCCCTTCCGGCCTCAGTCCATGGTCATCGCGGCCCACCGTGCATTTGCCCGATGGACATTGTGTGCCTGGTTTCTATCATTATTATTTCTAAAGATTCAAATATGGACATGTATGTTCTGTTGGCAATTTATACAATTTGAAACACATGGAGAGATCAGAATGGGTACGCTGTGGCAAGATGTCCTCGGAAACATTTATAAATGTAATTATGTTCAGAGTGGGTTGCTTTAACTTGATACTATTGTCAGCTGTAAGTAGAAAGATACAATGAGATTTGTTGTTCAAGAGCTGCAAGGGCTCAGTGTTGATGTGTGGCAGGAGTCTGGATGGATGTTGCCAAGGGCATAACATCACAGCAGGGTTTTCAGGTGGAGGTAAAGTCTAATTGTGGCCCAGGGTGCTGGTG